TGCCACAATATGGCTAAAATGGTAAAAATGAAATAGAAAAAAAATTAAAAGGAATAGCAAATGATAAGTATCTTGGATGTGAGAGCTATGATAAGTACAGTAATCCTACATGAAAACCAAATAGTTAGAACAGAATAGTCTGTGCTTTCTACTCAGAAAAATAGACAAATCATGAGGAAATTTCTGGGGAAAGGGCAAGAACTGTCCCTTGATCCACAATAAACCTATGGGTCAAATTATCATATAACACAGAAGGACCATCAGAGTTTTCATACAAATTAAATTAGATATCCAAGTAATAAAAAACTATTGCAGTTAATTTTGTGCTGAATAACAGCTAAAAAGGAGGAAAGAGACCATCTTTATTCAGACAGCTCTTATCCTGAGCCTATGGACAAAAAACAGACAAAATATTTACAAATATTTATACACAGGGTTTCCAGAAGTCAGGTGCTGAGCAATTTTTAACTTATATGCAGACCTGTTTGATCAGAAAAGTACACACATGCTCTCACTGGCCTTGTAGGGAGTACTACTTGCCTAGCTGGTAAACCCAGTAGGAGAGATTGTTTCAGTGGTGGGACAACTGGAAGATGTGCAAACTGAGAGCCACCAAATGTGATCTGGTTTGCAAGAGTTTCTCCTTTCCTTTCCTTTTCAATATCTTGTTCCAAGAGGGCAAAATAACATTTCAGGAAAACAGAATTGGTAGGAGAAAGATATTCATGGGACAAGAGTACCAAAAAAATACATGTACATGAGGAAGTAAATGGCCTAAAAATCTAAAAATATTTCTCCAAGCACAGATACACACACTTTTCCTTCAAGAAAAGCTAACAGCAGTAGTAGTAGCAGAACGAGAATTCTTTCATTTATTAATGAAAAAAAGCTACTACTAGGGAATATAATTGTGCTTTATTAGATTCTAGGACTTAAATGACTATTTTGTGTAGCACAAAAGCATGTGGACTGTTTACATACGTGTATATGAATGTAATGAAGCTGTGTATGTATAAAGGTAAGCTTATGATTTTAAACTTTGTCACAGTTGATGGCATAAAAGCAAACGCTATAGAAGGGGATTTGATATATTGAATTTGGAATAAAAGTAGAGAGGATGAAAAAGATGATGGTAGATGAAAATAACTCTTTGTTCTCTTAGATAAAAACTTTAATAACAATACATGGAAATTTAATTTATCACCTTTACTGCAAAGCCACCCAAAAATTTCCCAAGAGAATTTTACTTTTAACCATTAAGAACACTAAGATGTGATGGACTTTCATCACTCATGAAGTCTAGTATAACTGCTAACTACCTTCATAGAAAAATATCACCATGAATAAAGGTAAATATAAGTGTCCCAGGATAATGTTGCAATATCCAATCTAAAATTGAACTACAGCTAGGTGATGCACCAACTGCTAAAAAACAAACACTCAAGGATTTTATGTACTTTCCATTGTGCCTGAAAATATCTGTCTCATTTTGAATGTAATGCTTGATTACATGTCCCATAATGTGTACTCAAAACTTAACTTGAAATAAGTATTTTTAGAACAGTGATAAAGCAGCTTATATGACTGTATTAAAAGCAAATTAGTGGCAGGAAGAAACAAGTAAGATCTAGAATATATCAAAAGCAAGAATCTTTCTTACCCAAATACTAATGCAAAGATGTATGATTATTATTATCTTATTATGACTGGATCATCAGCACTGTTATATCACCCATCTCTTTAATTTTCTCAAAACAAGGGCCCACATTTACCATCTTCACAGCAGTATGTTTTACAAGTGACCTAATTTCTTTCATTTTCAACCATGAAGATAATAAAAGGTTAAGTACTTTAAAAGAAGTGGGGGGAAAATGTTTCAAGAAACCCAGTGAGTTGAGTGGTTACAGTGCTGCACTGGGTTCAAGGACAGCAGAGTCTACTCTCAGTCACAGATGACTACTGGCTGATGTCAGGCCAGTCACTCTCTCTCAGCCTAATTTATCTCATAGAGTCGTTGTGAGGGAAAACTGGTGGATGGAATGCTATCTCAGGTTGAAATGCCATGATATAAGATTGTCCCACAACTTAAACTGGCATAGCTTGTTCATTATGATCAGTCCAACAATATAGGAGTGAATATATAAAAGTGCAATACTCTTTCTGAGTGCTTTACTTTTTCTTACCTAGACTTCGATTTGTTTGTTATTTTTTCAATAACAGACACTATTATTGGTGTCTGTTTATCACAAAGGCAGTATGCAAATATAATAGTATTTGCCTGCCACATTTTCTATATGGAGTCATATTTATATTATGCTAAGTAAATTGCATAGAATATATACAGTAGGAAAATATTAGCTGTAAAACTCCTCATTCAAGTAAACCAAGCACATCATTCAAATAAATGCTAGAGTTAAGGATATGTAATCAGTGTTTGTCACTGACCTTTTGTTATCACATTCATTTTCTCACCTTGCACTTTCAGATCTTGTGCATGCAAACAAGACAGGTTTTTCTACCACTGTCTTCCCATCAAGATGAGACCCTCTAAGATGGATCCTTTTCATTGAATATGTCAATATTTTTTCTGGAATATTTATAGTACCAGGGGTTTTTGAAGCCCCAAAAATTATTTCCTTCACTGTATTCTAACTATGCTTCAAGTCTTTACCTTTTCTACAAATTTTAACATTCTTTAGATTGTGTGTTAAATTCTTGCTCTCTTTTTAATGCACTATTTTATATTGTCAGTATATATTTTTAATTACTGTTATTTTGCATGTTTTGTTGGATGCAGAGAGGTGCAGGTTACGAATATTAAAATAAAACCAATTTCCTGTATTTAAAACCTACTAAACTTTAAATCTTTTATCCAACTACTTTCCCTATGTAATCCATTTTCACTGAATATGGATTGTTTTTCTAAAATGCTATGGCAGCATCATTTATTCACATATAAAAATATGGAAAATTATGTTACTATTTCCTTTATGAAGGTCTTATGAATATTACAAGGCTGCATCCGGGTCATAAGAAACCAATAAATGAACATTAACCTTGGAAAGTAATAACTAAGCTATATGTGGCCTAGAACTAGACACTTTGCTTTATCTTCACTTTAAAACCAGCCAACTCTACAAGAAAAAATTCTCACATTTGTTCAAGCTAACATCATCCACACTAGCCACACATCATAGTTATTTAGTAACATTTTGTTACATATTCTCAAACTTTACAGGTAATGCATCAGACATACTAAACAATATCTAAAGGTTACCACTTCTCAAAAAAAAATTTTTTTTCATGTTCAGAGGCCTGCTGGGAATAATATATTTTAGATTTTAAATAGTTTAGGGCAAGGACTTTTATACTTCACAAATCAGTCTATGCCAAAGAAATAAAAATGTACAATTACAATAATAAGCACCATAAGCCTTAGACAATACATGTGGCTAACTTGCTACAATAAATGAATGCTAGCTACAGTGATATGAAAGTGTTAAAATATGAAACAAATTCCTTCAACTTACATTTATGTAAAATTGTATGTGTAGAATTCTAATGTGTAGAATTCATGTTTATTGCAACGCATATACTTATATTTCATTCATTCTTGCTTGGTCCATTTTTACCTTTTTGCTTTCCCTTTTATTCTTTAATCTTTCCCTTTATTTCTCCATAAGAAATTGCTACTTCTTTTCTTTTGTATATCCATCTCTTTGATACACATTTCTTATTAGATCATATAAAAGTTGTGGACCACTGACAGTGTGTTTTTGTTGCTTATATTATGAATATTTATAGTAGAAGTAAGTCAAATCCTGATCTTCTAAAATAGGCATGTCAAACTGCTGGCCCACGGGCCGGATGCGTCATGCCGAAACCACGCCCACCCCATTGCCGGCAATGGGGAAAAAGTCGAGATACATTGCGCGATATCACATGACGTCACGAGTTTGACATACTTGTTCTAGAAGGATTTTCTTATAATGGTAGCCTTATTAGAAGGGGAAAATGAGAATTGCTCAAAAAGGCATTATTCAAACTTCATTTATAGCATAACCAAAGATTGACAAACTTCAAACAATAAATGAAATTTTAGAAGAATCTGAGAAATAGTTTTTCTTCCACAGTTCAGTCTGATTTTCCTTTGCTATTTAAAGGGTAAATATGAGCTTAAAGATTCATTTCATTTAATATTCTGGTTCACACTATAGCCAATCAAACTTGAAGGCAAATCTCTCTTCTCCCAGCAGTTATTATTCAAAGGCATGTTACCTCTACCTAGACCTTGCTTATAGTCCTTCTAATTAGCAGTCATGAAAGCCAGCATTCATCAAATGCTGGAGCAGTGGATGTCATTGTTAAATTATGCACTTCATAAAGATATACTTGTTTTGCTTCACTGTGTCCTAAGATAGGGACTCCAATGGGTCATCACCAATTATTGAACTTCTCCCATTGAACTTCCTTTGGGTGTTGGCCAAATCTGGGTAAAATTAGTGGACTACTTTTTCAGTGGTATTCAATATTTACAAAGTCTTTTCCATAAATATTGGTTTCCTTTCATTGCTTTCCATACAAGTCAGTGATGGAACAAAGACAAAATTAATGAGAGACTTTTATAGCAGTGGAGGGAAAGTGTGCAGACCACAAGTATGCCATGTTCCAATGAGATCTGAAGAACGCAAATCATCAGGAATAAAGACTTCAGATGCTAACTGTTATCCAATTAAGTTTAGCATAAACAGCCCAGAGAGATGAAATCTTGATATCAGAGTATCACATTTGTATGAGGATTCTTAGACATTTGATCACAATGCAGTATAAACAAACCAGCAGCCCAGTGTTGGTGGCAACATCTGAGATCAACTAGCCCATACCCCCAGCAAAACAAGACCAAACTGGTTTCAATTCCTGTCTCAGCAATGATAAGGAAGATTTCTAGTGTTTTAACTCTGTCCTTATATCCAAATGGACCTGATGCTTCCAGAGATACATCACGTTGGCAGCTGATCTTCAGAGAGCAAAAATAAAATGTTTCTGTTACCTGACAACTGACAATGACATCCAAATGTGCCTGATGTCTCACTCTGAGACCCACCAACTGAGACTGCGCGCGCACCACAGCAGGGCAGGCTCAGGCAGGGCGGGACTGAGGTTAGAGCACGGAGAGGTGGCGGTGCGATCACTGATGCATGAGGGTGGGAGGAGGCAGTTATGGAGGCCGCCGGCAGCTTTGCAGGCCTGGACGGCCCTGAGGAAAAAACAATAGAAAAATCTGTCAGTGGTACCGATGTTTGAAAGCAAAGATGGAGAACAGGAGCAATGTAGGGCTGGCATGACCTACAGTACATATTTGCTTAACAAACTGTAATGGAAGGAAGGAGAATAACTTTGAGGAACTGGATAGAAAGCCACAACCAAGATAAACAGGAAAAAAATCTGAGCCTGGCCTTGTAACTGTAATATGAATAAGCATCTCAGAAAAGATGCTCCCTGGTTTTCAGGAAGATAACAGGAGGGAGGAGGGTCAGTTGAGAGTGCATGATTGATGTCACCCTTTCAAGGTAGACCAAATAGGAAACCATCCATGCAAATACTACTTGTATTATAAGATGATAGTAAAGGAAACTTGCAAGTCTGAATGCACTTCTCCTCCCTCTCTCTATCATCCTGAGAACTAGGGAGAGTCTTTTCTGATATGCTTTCTGAGTTTATACCTCTGGCCTGGACTTAGATTTGCTTTATCTAGTCACTGCCATGGTTACGGATCTTCTTCCTGTTTCACAAGGTTATTCCTTCTGGCCACTGCACAAACTCACAGGGCACAGAGAGACGATAGTCAGTAGAAATGCTTCTCTCTTCACTACGGCCTTTCCTATGAAAAGGATAATGACTGCATCTTCCCTCTTTCTTTTAAATGCCAAATGTTTTAGCACTATTTATTTGTAAACTCTCGAGGTACATGGGATGGGATGCATGGGATGCAGTATAGTAGTAGAATAAATATATAAATAAGTGAATTAATAAAGGCTGCAGTCATAATACCAAAGACAAAACTTGACTATGAAAATCATACTTAGAATCTCTGATCTAGATGATAAATTTTGAGCATTCTTATTTTATGTTCGCTTAGGGAATATTTTCTTTGTCTTCGCCAGATCTTCTCAAAGGAAGGGAATATAAACATAAATATATAAGGCAATTATTTTGATATTATTTTTCTTCTTCCTCAGTAACTCTCAAGACTGATAAATATGCAGTCCTTGATATATGACTGGTTGCTTAACAACTGTTTAAAGTTATGTCTGACCTGAAAAAGTGGCCTTATGTTATGTAATTGCACTTTGGGCACTTGGAACCGAGCCATTTTTACAGCCATTTGCAGCGTTCTGCAGTCACATCACTATGCTTTACAACAGCTTTGCATAAAACTAGCACTTCTAGTTTTTGGCAAAACCGCACCACACCAAAACCATGGACTTGCTTAATAACCACAGTGTTCACTTGACTGTGGCATTCCCACTTATGACCACCATGTTTGCTTAACAACCGCCCCCAAAGTCATAAAATCAAGTCAGTCATGTGACTAATCTGCTTTATGACCATTACAATTTATGGGCATAATGGGCAGGCTCCATTACAGTCTTAATCTATCTCTGTTTATTGGGTTTTTTCTTTCTTTCTTTTTATCCCTCCATAGTATAAACAAAAGAACTAAAGGTAGAGTTTAGCTATATATTATCTGGCAAAATGGCCGGCATCCTAACAAACTTCTGTCAGTCTCCAAAAATGTGTGATTTATTTCTGGAAGCGCCAAGAAATATGCTTTAAAAAGAACATGCCAGTTGTTCCGTACAAATATAAATGAATACTGTTGTTTTGTTTGTCCTAAAAACCAAAATAGTGATACAAAAAAATTATATTTAGACAGAAATTTTCCAATAGTGTACTAAACAACTGTGAATTGCTAAAATCTTCTTCATAGTTTATGTATTTTTTGCCCACTCTCAAGAGTTGCTCTGACCATAATTTACCAGGTCAAAAACACCACTTCTGATAAAACAGATTTGTACGCAGGAAATAACCTGCCACAATAACCCTATAAGAGTTCTCAGCAACATTCCTGCTGTTATGAAGGAACCCAAAATGTAAGAGTGATAGGAGGGGACAATGTAATGAGATAAGTCATCTTATAGGTATTAGGGAGGAGCACCAGGGGACATTGCCAGAGCTACAGGGCATGCGTTTAGGAATAAAATTGAAAGGAGATTATTGTTTATGGCCATCCTAATCCAGCTCGCCAAGAGAAAAAAGGAGGAGAGCTGCTTGCCAAGTTATAACTGAACCAGGCCCAGCACACTAACACAAAGTGCCACAACTCATAGCTGAAGCAACTTCATACAAGTGCCAGGAATCGAGATCCCAGAATAAAGCATTTATGGCCCATCATGGCTTCATCGCTACTTGACCTGTAGCCAACAATGCATTCTGCGTGTTTCATTTCTGCATTGTATTTCCCATGTTAAGTCTATACAGAACATAACCTTTCTTTGTTGCTAATAGCTGGAAAGAAGCATTGTACCCTCAAACTGTATTATTCATTTAAAACACATACATGCATATCTAGAAATCATCTGTTATTTAGAACTGTATTTAGTCTCTGTTCTGGTGTGTTGGAAATGCTTTCCCTCTTGCTCTCTTGGCAGTCATCAGAATGACTTAAGCAATTAAATAAAAGCATAACACAGACTTCATATTGCATGAAGTTAACTTTTAGTTAGAACTCAGGCTGCTGTATCCATTTTTCAATAACTAAGTATTTGGCTGCCACCAACAATTACCTGATACTCTTGAATCAATATACTTACTGTAGTAATCAACTCCAGTTTCTGTAAAAAGTATAATAGTCTGGCAATTTATTTCACTTGAATTTCATAGATAAAGGAGTTTTAAAAAATTACAAACTCCATGTTTATAATTTCCAGCTATTTAAATACACCTATCTACACTAGAATATACCCCCCAAAATACATATCTTTCAAAGAAATAGGAATATAACAAAACAAATAACAAAATGCATCCACCTAGGTTATTCACTATTTACATTTGTACAATTAACAGTCAAATCACAACAAGATATTGGGATATGAGGAAAGAAAATATGAACAAATTTCCTTTCTATCTACTCAGTACCTTTATTCCCACTCAAGGATTCAAAGAGCTATCGATTTTAATTTATAAATAGCCCAAAATTATTTAAATTTTAATTTTAACTGAGAAAATGCCTTGATTGGCTTAGAGAATGTTAGGGATAGGAAATGGGTCCTGGTTATCACATACTTTTGGATATTGTCAGTGACAGAAAGCTTCTAAACACATCTAGAGGGATAGACATATATTATAATATATAATAGTATATTTTACTAATCTAAATAGGGCTAAAGGACAACTGTTTATCACTATAGCAATTGCATAGTCTACATTCTATGCTTTTACATTATTTAAAAGGTATTTAAAATCACTGTAAAATAATTGGAAGTGTATTGTCATCAATGATTGGTGATAACTCTTACTTTTCCCTATCATATAACTCTAAGGCAACATTATCTGATATTAATCATTTTTATTATTTATTAAAATTAATATTAATTTATTAGATTTTTATCCCAACTTTATTACTTTATAAGTAACTGAAGATACCTAATACTCCTTCCTTCTCCTATTTTCCCCACAACAACCCTGTGATGTGAGCTGGACTGAAAAAGAGTGAATGACTCAAAGCTAGCTTTCATGACTAAGGTGGGACTACTGTAGAACTCGCTGTCTTTTGGTTTCTAGATCATCACCTTAACCATTAGACTTTGAAAACTAATTGTGCTCAATAAAGGACCGCACGAGAGAAGAGACTGAATCCAGATAAGATATCAACCTGCTAGGATTAGCAGAAACCCTTATCTAAGTATTGGAATCCAATCTGTTGTGGATCATGTCTTTCTGTTCATAAAATATGTGTGTCTTGGGATTGCCATTTAATAGTAAAGGATCCCTGGATCTACAAGTATTTAAGTATACAAATACTTAAAATTTGCTATCTGTGGCCATTCCAGAGTTAACCTGACCTGGCAGCCTTGTTTATATCATACTTATCATGAATGAAGGCAAATGTATGTGTCCCAGGACAATGTTGCAGGATCCAATCTGGGTCGGTCACTGGGACCAGAGGTTTTGCCTTCCGAGTGTTTGGACCCATGCTGGAGCCTATCCTCAGTGAAGATGAATCTGGGTCGGTCACCTCTGATCCCAACAACCAACCCAGATTGGATCCTGCATACTTATCACATCATACAATAAGCTCTTTCAAATTGGACTATGCTTGAAGAAGCATCAAATGTTACACAAAGACTGCTGAGCTGCAAATCAATACATGGTATTATGATAATATTACTCATATTACTTGAAAGTTCTGCAAAAGTTGTCAATTGCTTTCTATTATCTGTAAACAGCTTATGTGCTGATTATCTGCAGAACTACCTTCTTTATGAACATGCCTAAGTATGAGCAGAAACAAACATTCCTGGTCACAGATGTTTGGATGCTACATTTCAGACTGTTCTCCATCAGGACCTAAAATTGGTTTACATCCTTTGCTTTTTAGGGAAAAAAAAGATTTCATTTTAATCTATTTAAGCGAAGAGTCATTTAATTTACTAGTAATGGCTTAAATTTGTTTCAATGTTTCAGTATAGTTTTATTGTTTTATGCCTTTATTAACTGCTATTGTTACTGGATTTAACTAAGACACAGTTGAGGAAAAGTGTTGCATAAATACTATTAAAAAATAAACAACTATAACTATTACTTATGATTTCCTCCTCCTATTTGACTAGAGGGCCTAGTTTTTCATTAAAAATAGTGTTTATCCTCCTCATGTTTTTCATCTATTTCTCCAGGTCTGAAAACTATAGCTAGCATGGTGATCTGATAGCTACAGATGTGAATCCAATAGAAATACTTCATCCTTGGCACTGCATTTAGCACTTCAGTCTGCATGGACTGCATTTGATTTTGTCATTTATCTTAAATGGCTAAGAGACTACCAGGGCAACACATTTGTGTGAAGTTGTTGCCAAACCACAAGTGAAGGGCCTAAATCCTTGGCATAAATACTTCAGCTCTGCAGCATCAAGGATAAAATATGTGTCCTTTGTGATTTTTATTTTTTAAACAGAGTCTGGACCTTCAGATTACTTA